ATTTCCTTGTAGCACTACTAGAATTCCGGGCTATAGCAGCGACAATAGTTGCTAGTAAAGAGTAAGCTAATCGTCGGTAAAGGCAATAGCGGCGACACGTTGCCAGTAAAAAGTCTCCGCTACTGCTCTGTCGGTATTGACCGATTGTCGCCGCTACGAAGAATTGTCGCTGCTAATGCTCCTATTGTTGGGAATACTTTGTGTCGTTGCCGGTAATAACATTTTTCATAAAAAAAAATTTAATCAACGACTTTAGGTATAAAAAACCGATATATAACAATATTAAAAAAAGAAAAAAGTTACATGACAACATCCGATTGAATACCAAATACTGTTATAATTAATTCCATACCAAAATTAAACAACTAAAAGTTTTACAATTCTAAGAAGTAGCAAAGCGTGACAACAAGTGTAACATACAAATAAAGCTACTCCCTACATACCATTATATCCATTCCCATAGTTTCCTCCTTGATTATTTTGTGATGGAAAAAACAAATAAAGCTCTTCCCTAAATGTCGGGTCGTTGAGCATTACCCGAAGATTTTCCAACTACATAATAAATAACAACATGTATAATTTTATAAGTTACATTATCAAACCTAAACAAAAACTACCAAAGTACATTCCTACTTCATGCACTTAAATAAAAGATATACCAAAAGTACATTTCTATTTCTTGCACTTGGGATAAAGACACAATTACCAAATCAACATGCATTTTATGATGCCAAAGTACATTGCTATTTAAACTAGAGACCAAAAAACCAAAGTACATTGCTATTTCTTGCACTTGAGACAAAAACCCAATTAACAAAGCTTTTAGCAAATAATCACCACAAAACAGAATTACCAAATCACACCGTCTAGGCCCTAATAGCCTATACCCCCATTGGCCTATGACATCGAGAGATGGAGCAGGCATCAACAACAACCACCTCCTTATGGGATGGAGCAAAGATTTTATGATCTTCGTCAGGGAGAATCCGATGACCGCGCCTTTCTGGTCGTGGTCCGACGGATCGGAGATATTGGCGATCAGGCTTAAGTGACCGCCGATCAGATGGTACAAATGAGAGCTGCCTCGGAATAAGCGATTGCTCGCATCCAGGGCCTTGAACGGCACAATTTCCCAATGAAGTGCCTGATTGAAGACCTTGTCACTACACGAGCAGAGATAAGATAGTATCAGATGCGACACGTTTCTCTCGAGGAGAGAGTACGTACCGCTCAGCGCCGATTAGCTGAACTCCAGGGTGCGTCGTCATCATCATCTGCACCATTGGATGCTCCTCACCACAAGTAGAACCCGCTCTACTTGCTGCCGTTATCCATAGAACTCTCTTTTGCTTATGAATGTAGAATTAACTCAAAAAACTAAGTAATCGCACTCATCGTAGAATCTATATGCTAGCAGATTTCGCTTCCTCTATGTACTAAACGCTTTTCAAAGCGAAATTTTCTTGCGTATACTAAGAAATTATCATTAATGAAATAGTTCTGTGGTTTATTTGTAATGTATCTACTATGTTTTTCCATTATTGGTTCAGGTTGCGTAAGCAAACCATCACAACCTCTAACCAATCACCGATATTTGAAATCATTGTATACTCATCGTCCTTCCGTTCCATGACAGAAAGATGACCAGGAGACTGATTCGTAAAAATAGCAACATAGTACCACCACCACCGCCTTTGCCAGATATGAACTCTGCCTCATTTCAAGCAGCATTCTTAGCTGCAGTAACATCGGCTGTAGCCCACATTTAAACCGGAAATAACAGTGGTGGGAATGGCTAAGGGACAAGAAGCTCTCACTAAGGGATGAATCAAGGGCCTGTAAAGGTTTGTACCTACAATGACTTTTCTAGTGCAAGGCCCCGCACTTTCAACGAGACTGGAGGAGTCATAGCCTTGAAGCGATGGATAGAAAAGGTTGAGTTAGGTTTTGAAATATGCGAATGTCCTGAAGGGAGTAAAGTGAAATTTGCAGCCTGCTCATTTATCGACCAGGCGTTGTCATGGTGGAATGGTCACATTGAGGCTATGAAACTCCATGTGGCAAACGCCATGTCATGGGAAGAACTCAAGGATATGCTAATGGTCGTGTATTGTCCCCGTGGGGAAGTACAGAAATTCAAGCAATAACTGTGGAACTTTACAGTACAAAACTCAAACATGGATGCTTAAATCTTGAGATTTGGTGAATTAGCGCTTTTGTGTCCTTGTATGATTACGTCTGAGGGAAAGAAGACCGAGCAATTCATTTGGGGATTAACACCTCCCATCCAAGGAAATGTTATTGCCTCGAAAACTGAGACCTTTGACAGTGCAAAACGACTAGCTAAGAAGCTTTATGATCATAGTGACAAGAAAGGCACCATAGCGATCGAGGGAGAAGGCAAACAAGAAGGAAGTAACAAGAAGAACTGGGAAAACAAACAAAAAGGGCAATATAATTCAGGGCCATCCAAGAAACCACATACAGTAGCTATCCATTCTGCTACCGCTCCAGTCGCACCAGCTCCACTCGTTCTAGCCTCAACCACACCAACGCCTGCCAAGTCATACGCGCGTTCCAACCTGAAATGTG